CACACACACACACACACACACACACACACACACACACACACACACCCTTATTCTTACCGTATGTTATTCTTGAGCCTCTTCGTACAGTGCGGGCATCGGAAGGAGGTTGGCACCTTGGGGAAGTTGAGCAGCTGGCTGACTTTGCCCCCGTCCCTGCCGTAGTAGAAGTCGTCGACCAACATGATCAGCTTGCTCTGCACCCCCTCGCTGGCGCCGTCGCCCGGCTCGGAGAGCTTGGAGGGCGGCGACAGGGCGGGGATGGGGGTGGAGGAGGGGGGCGAAGCCACGGCGGTGGTTTTATCCGGGGAAGGGGGCTTGGGGGCGTGGATATTTGGCTCGGACTCCAGGGGTTTCCCTTTCTTCAGGAATTCCACCATTTCGGGGCAGCAGTACTGCGGGAAGGAAAAAAAGGGGGGAGAGAGTTAAGGATTCTTTGCTGGCTGAGGAACTCTGGGAGTTGAAGTCCACAAGTCTTAAAAGTCGCCAAGGCTGGAGACCCCCGGACTAGTCCCTCTGGGAAGGCAGGCGGCCCAAATGGAAGCCCCTCCTCTTTTCTCTGGCTCTTGTCTTTTGACTTCCCAGCCCGTCCTCATCCTGGACAGCTGGAGCTGCGGGCCTTGTGCGTCTCTTGGTGCAGGGACCAAAACCTCCAAATTCGATCTATTGCTTGCAAAGCTCCTTCTGAGAAAGACCAGCCCGCCTGTCCCCCCACGGCACACGGTCAAAGAGACCGGATGAAAAGAATGGGTCCCCCCTTGTCATCAGCAGCAGCTGAGATCAGGGGTGGGCAACCATGGCCTCGTTGTGGACTCCAACTCCCAGAATTCCTGACCCAGACGTTTTGGGAGTTGGGAGCCCAAAGGGCTGCTCGCCCCCTCATCTTAGGCAGGGTCAGCACCACAGGTTCCACTTAACCGTGAATCTCTTTTCCAGCACTGGGGCAAGCAGAACCCATCGATCCGCTGTGCTCTAGAGAGCTTTCTCTCCGCCTGCTCCCCCAAAGTTGAGTTTTGGGGGGTCTTTCTGGATGGTTGCGGTCCAGAAACGGTAAGCCTGGAGCGCACACAGCTCTACCTGTGGCTCTCCCCTCGGCTACCGCCTTGACCTCCCGGGCCAGGGAGTGGTTACTTACACACATATGGCCTCTTAAAGCTTCCGTGATCCTGAACTGGGCGTTGCAGCGAGGACAGGATTTCCGCCCGCTGTCTTGCAGGTCGAAGGCGGGGATCGGCGAGGAGCTGACTGTTGGCGGCACGAGAAGGAGAGAGAATCAGGGGAGGGAAAAGAGGGAAAGCAGGAAGGCAGAAGCTTAAAAAAAAAGGCTATTTCTTCTTCTCTGCTGCGATTTCTTTCCCCTGGGGAGGAGGAAGGAAGGGGTGGGCACCCCTTTCCTAACGGACAGCATCCCGGGGGACCCTGCCCCAATTGCTTAATTAGGTCAGGAGGTTAGGAGACGCACCTTTCTGCGAGGAGGACTCCGAGAGGCCCGTCCTCTGGGAACCATGGGCCTGGCTGTTGTTGGGCACCACCAGGGGGCCCGAGCTCTGGGCAAGCGAAGGGACGGTGTTCAGGGTATTCACCAACTTGACCACCTCGTTACTGTTGTCGCCCGCCATGCCGGGTTTCTTCACTGCGACAAAACTCGCGATGCTCACTGGCGGGAAAAGGAGGAGAGAATCCCGATCGTTTCCGTTCGGAAGAGGGAGGGACGCCCGGGGACAGCCGCCCGGGGAACTGTCCCAGGACGAGGGATGGGGTGGTGGAGGAAGAAGAGGAGGAGGAGGAGATGCCGAAGGAGGACTTACTTTGTGGTTGCTGCGCTTGGGACTGTGGGACCGTGTTGCGGATGGTCAGGGTGGCCGGAATGACCGTCGTGAACGTGTTGGAGGCCGGTCGGACAGGCATGGCGGGAGCAGGCCTCATCTGGGCCATTTGGGAGAAAACCTGAGGGACGCCGACGGTTGGCTTCACAAACTGTGTGCCTGGGGCTGAAGGGAGGGAAGAGAGGGGAGAAAAGGACCCGGGCGGTTGCCGGGAATTGCTACCGTTATTTATTTTTAAAAAAATTGATAGGCTGCCCAAAGTGGGTGGGTCATTTGCCCCGCCACTCCTCCTTCCCAGCCTTTCTGCCCACAAGGGGATCGTTCTGCTCATCGTCCTGCCATCCTGGCTCCCCTCCCCAACAGTTCTGGCTACCTTTCCTCCCCCTCCCCTCCCCGCCTTACCTGGGACGAGCGTAATCGGCCGTACGGTCTGACCCTGCTGCACATTCAGGACGATCCCAACCTGGTTCATCGTGTTTTGCACAGGCCGGACGTTCCGCACGGGGAAACCCTTTCTCGGACAAGGGGGGGAAAAAGCGGATTTAGGAGCTGGAGCCCAGGCGAGAACGAGGCCGGCCTGCCTGCCTGCCACCTTCTGATCTCGCCAGAGGAGACCGTTTCTAAAAAGGGATCGGATTTCCAAGGCTCGTTGCACCCGTCTTCTGGCCGTAAAGACACGCCTGAAGGATACGGACGGAAGGTGGAAACTGCCCAAAGGCTGTGCACTTTGGACCGCTCTGCCTCGTTAAACTCCAGAGAAAAAAACCATCCTACTAATTGTGCACTGTCTCCGGGTCACAGCAGGACTGAAACGGCCACCTTGTACGCTTTTAAAGTTAAATCTCAAATAAAAAGTATCAGGCTGGGTTTTCAGTATACATTCATAGCTGTCTACCAGTCAAAATTTAACCAATGACTGAAGCTTCTGATGCAGGAAGCAGGACTACGTTGAATGGGGGATCGCTACAAACTGCAACAGGCACCCAGCGGGGTTACCTGTAGAAAGCTGCCCCACAGGTAGGATCGGTTTATTCCCAGCACCTCTGGGTCTCGAGGGGCATTCAGGCGGGTGGGCGACTGCTGGGAAACCACGTCCCCCCATCCCTCCTTCCCACAATCGACGGCTAGGGCAATAAGTCACGCTCGGCCTGTTCTCTGAGCCTTTTACACGAAGGACATGCCGGCTGGGGAATTCTGGGAGTTGGAGTCCACCCAGTTGAGAAACAGTGGACTAGAGAAGGAACCGTTGCCTCCTCCTCCTCACCTGAGTGGTGATGAAGATGGGCTGGCTGGTCACTGGAGAATTAGTCACGTGGTTTGCATTCTGCATGACCTGCACAGGCCGGAGAACAGGCTGGGTCACCACCGTGCTGAGGCCGGAGGTGGGGTTCTGAGCGAGGATCAGGGGCTGGCCCCCTTGCTGAACCAGAGGCGTGCCGGCTGGGGGGAAAAGAGGAGAGGGACGTTACTTGCAGGGGGGGGGGGTGACAATAAGGCCGCCCTCCTACGGCTAAGGGGTCTTTCTAATTCTGCCACGCTGGTGGGGGGCTTTGAGGAGTTCGGGCCCCTCTAGAAAGGGAGCCCAGCTGGACGAATTCCTGTTCTTCCCACACACAGAGAAAGCGACATTTTGTGTGTGTGTGTCTGTGTGTCTGCTTCCTTTGCTTATAAGAGGAGCGGGCATGCTGCGGAGTGGATTTAAATACCGGTAGTCCTCGACTTACAACACGGTTCATTTAGCGGCCGTTCAGAGTTACAGCAGCACTGACAAAAAGGGACTTGGGACCATTTTTTCACACTTGGTCGTGAGGTCGAAATTCAGATGCTCGTTTTACGACCACTGCAGAGTCCCAGGGTCACGTGACCTCCCCCCCTTTTTTTGCGACCTTCTGACGAGCAAAGCCAGAGGGGGAAGCTGGATTCACTTAACAACCGGGTGACTCACTTATCAACTGCAGCGATTCGCTTAGCAACGGAGGCAAGCAAGCTCGTAAAATGGGGCAGGACTCACTGAACCAATGTCTCGCTTAACAACGGACATGTTGGGCTCCGTTGTGGCCGTAAGCCGAGGACCGCCTGTGTTTGAAACCCCTGGCGTTCAGACGGGCGAAGGATTCAAACATGCTACGAGAGCAAAGCGCAGAAAAGCCCAGCTTCCTCCTCTCTCTAAGGAACTGCACCGCAATCCTCTGGGCTGGTGCCCGTCCCAGGTTAGTGACAGGGCACAGACAGAGCAGGAACAAGTATGTGCATTTTTTTCAATTCCCCCCCCCCACTTAAATTGTTGGGGCGCTTCTAAGGGGACCCTGGTTTCGTCCCGGCAACGGGGACGCCAGAGACCTGACAGTGAGGTGGAAGGGGGGAACCTCTCCTCTCTCAGCTCCCCTGGATGCCCCCGAGACCCTTCGGGATGATCCTTACTGCTATTGTTTGCAAAGAGAGTCACCAACGTCTTCTTCGTGCTGTCACTGTTGGAGGTGCCGCTGCTGCTAACGGGCGTGGTGGGGAGGCCGCTGCCGATGGACGCGTGGGCAACGGTTGGCACCGGGGCGGCCACCGGCTGCACGCTGACTGAAACTGTCGAAGAGGAAACTCAGAATGGTTATCGGGTCACCTGCAAGCACCACCAGGTTTTCGCCGTCCCCCCCTGGAAAACTGCCAGGTTTAAAACAGGTGTGGGGGGGGGACAGGACGTCTTTTGGAGCTCCCCAGTGACGGGCATCACAGACTAGCAACTTTCGTTGACTTATTCTGCAAGGTTTCTTTTATTCTGCCAGGGGCCTTAGGCCCCCGGCTGGGAGATCTCAAACCTGGGATGGCTACTGACTTGAACACAGCCAGCGGATCAGAGGGCAAGCTGGCTCTCTGCTGGTTACCCAGATTTTGGTAATCCTGTTCTAGAAAGAACTTTTCTGCGTTAAACGGGAGCCGAGGCTGTTCCTGGTATCTGCCAGAAAGCAGGGAAGGAGCAAATGCAAAGAGCCCGCCAAGAAGAGGAAGGCGAATTATTAAATATGTCAATCTGTTACACCCACGAGGATATTAATAGCTGGGGGAAGGAATTACGTAGAGACTGTTTTAATCCCCCACCACCACCACCCTTTGCAGGTGACCGAAGACTAGGAGATGATTTAAAGTGGAGAAGACCATCCCTCCTAATGGGGGTGTTGCTTGGGACCCCAGGCAGAGGCAACCCACCAGGAAAGGAAGACCGAGGAAGGAAGCGGAGCCTGTGCCCCCCCCCCCCCCCCCCCGTCAAACGTGAGCAGCTCTCACTAGGAACAGACCCGGACAGCTAT